CCGGGCCAACGATGTCGTCAGCGACTGCCCGGGGCCTCTCCCGCGCAGTCCGTCTCCATTCCGTCTTCCACTCCCGCAACGTAGTGTCATTGGCCTGACCGGTGCGTTTGTGCTGCGTCTGCCCACAGTGCCACGGGTGAACCCCAGGTGGCCGCGGCAGCCGCCGGCGGCACTGACTCCGTGTGATTCAGCACTACCGTACGAGTGCGCGAGAGAGCGCGCTGAGAGAGCGACGCCCGCCGGACAGCCGCTCGCCCCGGCCGTCGAGAGGCCACGCTGTGTGCAGATGGCGGGGCTGGCCAGACCAGAGAGAGACACAGGGGCGTCTGAGACAACACACTCGGCCGTCTGAGGCAACACACTCGACCGTCTGAGGCAACACACTCGGCCGTCTGAGGCAACACACTCGGCCGTCATTTACATATGAGCACCGGCCGTGTGCACTCCGAACGACTCCACAACGAGTCTGGTGGATGGCTCCCGAGAACTCTTTGACGTCATGTTCCTTACTTAGGCATGTCAGAATAAACATGGGCCATTCTTCAAGTGTGAACGGCGAACGGATGACGCCTTGTCACTGTGATGCATTGCATTAGCTTCGCACTCATGCATTACTGAGGGCCATCGTTCATTTCCTTATTAAGTGAGCAAATAGCGCTACGTGCCACGCCCCCATTGCTGCTTGGTAAGTGGGTGGCGTTCTACATCCCGCCCAGTTGACGTGAGTTATATCGTTTAGCAGACTCCATTGGGCTCTTGGTGCTCTCTCAATCGTTCGCATGTTAGCTGTGGTAGCTGCATACAGACGAAAACGACAATGAAAAGGCGAGTAAATGAAGTGGCGACACAAAACAACTGGCAGAAATGACTCGCTGATCGGATAAGGGTAAGGGTAAGAATGAACCAGAAACGGGGAAGGAATTTGAATGGATGACATGCCATGATTATCGAGTCAAGTCACAGCTGCTCTGCCACCCCTGCGCCCGGAACCGGAGGGTCAGAGATGGATGTGGCAGGGTGACATGGCAGTGCTACTGGCGGGGACAGCAGGACCACCACAGGGCTGTCCTAGCGCTGCCCACGCCCGTCCTGACCGCCACCAGAGAACAGGTTTGCCCTGTCGCGCCACTTTTGTGCGGCGTCGGCCGGTTCCTGGTCGACTGTACCATAGCGTGAGGTGACAAAACTGGAGCGGCGGCGCGGCGGCGCGGCGGCGGACCTCAGAGGCGCCGCTGTCACGGCCGCAGTCCGGTGACGCCGCGCACCGCGATGACGCCGCGCCCCTTGATGGAGCGCGCGCGCCGGGACGCCCGATGGCGGCCGCCTTTGAAGTGCCGCGGCCCGGGTGGCGGTGCGGGGTCTTTGTAGCGGCGCGCTGCGTCGTTTCTCGGCGACCTGCGGCGGCCACTGACGCAGCTACCTGGACAGGAGCGCATTGGCGGCGGTGACGCGGCCCAAACGACCGGGTCCGCCATGGACGTCGATAGCGGGAAAGTGAATTGAGGTGTCGTTGTGAAGATTCTGATAAGGAAAACTATATTATGATGATGAACACTCAGGTGGATTGGCTTAATTGTCGTTTGGGAGACGCCTGATTTCTTCTGGAAACCAACTATTGACATGTGAATGAACGGAAATTGGACAACTAAAACATGCATTCTAAAATCCTTCTAAGTCAGACGCTTGCCTTTTACCCTAAAGCTACTCTGCCTCTGCCAAAGGCAATGCCTAAGCCCGACGCTGGCGAAAACGTCGGGCCTGCAGCGTAAAAGCAACTACCTGAGCGAGACCGAAGACATGGACCTTGGACCGGTAGGACCCAGCATAGGTTTTTCTTTTGATAGGCAAGCCAAATAAGGTTTTGATTGCGATAAAGTGAGCATCTGTGAGCTTCACACACATTAGCTGATGGTCACTGGCTAAATTTCTAAAGGAAATTTCGAATCGAAAATTGACAGATCCGTTCCAGGAATTTTGCTTCCAGCACTGGGATTATTTTGACGTGGTCTCGGATTTGGGGCCCATGCAACACTATGACACGTGACGCGGAGGGTCCAGTCATCTGACTGGTCCTGCCACCGGACACCGACGTTTGTTTATTTAACGTCGACAGTTGCTGGTCTCACCTGGGCAAACGTTCATCGGTTAAATAAACAGGCGGCGAGCCGGCGCCGCGCGCCAGCCAATGGCTGCCTGAGGACGGGCCCAATAAACACCGGCCGAGCTGAGGGCGGGGGCGGGGGCGGGTGGTATTTTTGCGGTCCGCCGCCGCCGCTGCCGATGCTCGCCGGCCGCAGAGCTGGCACGGCCGGGTGGCTCGCCGGGGTCAGGATGGGCCACCGAGTGCACGGCTGCAGCGGCCCGGCTGCAATAAAAGAGCCACCGATATGCATGCCGCCGGCCTGTAGGTAGGAGTGTCTCCGGCCAGATACATGACACTTGTCCTCGGCAGTGAGCAGAAAGCGACACTAACGACACGGTGCATCACGACACGCTGAATATATGCACATATTACCGGGCGAATGGCCGCCAGCCGGGCTCATACGGCAGAGATATCAGGCGCCGGTAGTCGGCTCATCCGCGGCTGGACGGCGCCGGTGGACGTTATCCGCGGACAGACAGCAGCTCCGGCCGGCACAGGAGCCCAGGACCGGTCCGCAGCGTCACATGTGGCGCGCAGCGCGGCGGCCACCCTGTGCAGCACCCTCCGCGGACCTCACCCACCCCGCGCCGCCGCCATCAGCGCGGCCGGGCCGCAGGCAGAGTCACTCAGTGTCATTCTATCCGGCCTCGTTTCGGAAAGGATTTAGTGTATCGTTAACGGCTGGCTATCTCGGCCAGTAAATCTGGCCCGGCCGGGGGCCGTCGGTGCCGGCCGGTCAGCTGACGTCTTTATGGACCGTGCCCGTTCCTAAACTGACTCGATACAGTGATCAATGGCCTCTCGGGTGACCTTAGTAGGCCGACCGGGCCGGGACGGGGAGGGAGGGGTGGGTGAGGGCGGAGGGCGGAGGGGAGGGGTGAGAAGGCCGCCGCCGAGCCGCCGCCGGCGTCGAGGCATGCCGCCGGTCTTGTTTATTAATAGTGCCGCTCGCAGTTGGGGTGGCGGCCCGGCGCTGGAGCCATGTGGCGCGGGAGCTGGCAGCTCCAGCACCGGCGGCCGGCCGGCGCTCCAGTCGGGGCCGCCGCCGGCCCAAACAGCCGCGACGGCCACTGGATGCGGCCATTCACGCCGCAGACCAACTACAAACGATGCTGGCCACCGCGATGTCATGCAGACATTCAGGCACACAAGTGCTTCATATTGATTTGAGATGAGGCTGCATTCATACAAGGATTAGCCACAGCAACATGTCTTCCTTAGCATACTTATAAGCAGCTTTCTTCTGGGCTTGGGTCTGGGTGTGATTTATTTGCAGTGAGGCTGGCTTACAGCTCGTGTGACGGCACTGTTTATTCTTGCCTTGTCTCGCATTTTAGAGGACCTGTAGCCTTTACAAGTCTACAGGTAGGCCTACAAACCTGCAGGTCTTACGTCTTTTCAACAGAATGCTGCGCTACTGACCTTCAAATAAAATTGCCGACGATTAGATAACATATCGCACTAATTCTTACTTAAATTCTAACGATGTAGGTAGGGTAGCAAATGCGAATTAAGTCTAATAAACACGCTTACTTCATTAAAAAGCTGCCACCAGTGCGAGACATAAAAAGATGAAAAAGTGACTAATTGTCCATGGAATTAACAGAACGATAACCGGTGTTTGTTTCTACTTATTAGCATGACATTCAACATCCAAAAGAAAAATCATTCCCAAGGCGCTGTCACCAAAACAATGGCAAAGCCGTAAGACTGACGTTTGCTACTTTTCGTACACGCGAAGTCGCGCCGAAAGCCTGCTCCCGTGACTCAGACTTAGTCGCCCGTTCAGTGATCCATTATGCCATATATTTTCCACCACAGAGCTACAGTGAGAGACCTGTGGGACACTGGGACTCTCATTGCAGACGCACTTTTCGCCTTATGCTTAGATTTCAGTCGACATTTTCATAATTCAGGCTTCATAAAATAGCTTCATATTCATACAGTGTGGACCTTTACTGTATGGTTACATACAGTGTGGTTAGGTTAGGTTAGAAAGCAGGCTCCATGGGTTGGGGTACACCAGTGATCTCGACCAGTCAGACTCAGAGTAACGCCAGGACCATCCAGACCCTAAAGCCTCAATCAAAACAAGCCAACCCAGACTCCCGAGCATACACTTCCAGTCCAAACAGATCAATTGTGGTCTGGTACGATCGTTAATCAAACACTGGACTTGGCGAGCCGATAATGACATGTTTATGGGATGAATGTTTGACAACGTTTTCCTGGTGGGGACATACATTACCCATTCTGGCGATACAGACTGTAACAGCGCCACTGGCAAACTGTGCATGTCTGAGAGGCACTTCCATGAAACTGCAGTCCGAAATAGCTGACATTTGTTGCCAAAGCTCTCCGCCACCCAACGTAATTTGATTCTGAGCTATAATAGAGAAGTAATTTTAACGCTAAAAGATTCGAAATACGAGAACTCAATTTGAGGTAAAATGTCAAACTATATACCCCACTCCGTAACTACAAATATACTACCCTGAAATTAAGTTTACCTACATAACTTGGTGAGATTGGACACTCGTATGTCGTTTTCCTATAGAGATGACCCCAAGGGACTGGGAGGGACGTGAGTAATGAGTATGCTTCTTCATAGCCATATACTCGTACAATATACATCACGATAAAGCAATGGTTCCCACCAATAAGGCCTGGTGATCGGGATGGGGATGTCTTGCTCCAATAAAACCCGCTTTTCTACTTCCCGTCTTTCCTAAAGCACACTTGGAAGCACAGGGCGGCGAAAATGACATTATGATCTTTCCGCAGACGACACAAAGGGTATCGTCCCCTTATGACCTCCCCGCGACCCCGCAGTGACAATAAGCTGTCCGTGACTCACCAGTGAGCTCGTCAGCGTCGACCGCTTGTAACACCAAGATGGCGGCCGTCTTCAGCGCCGGCAGTCCCCAGGCCAGCAGGTGGAAGTAGGTGCTCTTCTGCTGGATGCGCTCATGCGACCAGCGCAGGCCGGCGGCCAGGAACCAGGTGACGGTCAGCATCACCCACCTGGCAACCACAGAAAAAGGATTGTTAGCTGACGGCGAAAGGCCACAGGACGTCACATCTGCTTTGGAACACTGAGCGCCGAGAGATTGAAACATGGCGTCTGATGAGAATGGTCGGTGCGTCCTTCACCACCCGCTGGGTGATTTACATTCGGGTGTGGGCTGGTTAGCGGCCGCTCTATCTCCGTTCTCGGTATTAGCATGTGGACGGCGTGGCGGCGGCCCGCGCTGCCGGCCCGGTCGGCTGTTTGATGTCCGCTGGTGACCGCGGCGGGTGACGGCGCGGCGGCCTCAGAGGCCCGGCGCCCCGCCGCCGCCCGGCCAGCGGCGCCGCGCAGCCTGATTGATGATGATTGATTTCGTCTTGCAGCGGATTGATGTGCCGGCTTCCGCGCGCGGTCAGCACGCTGCACGTGCCACCCGCTGACCACTGGCCCGTGCCCCGCCCTGGAGACCGTCTGGTGACCGCACTGACCGCCGACCGGCGCGGCGGTCATTCCGTGACCGGGTCATCATAGGAAGAAAAGTCTCCGTCCCTCCCACAACTCTTGTCTATGTACATTTCCTACATATGAACTTTTACCCTACTGCCACTAACAACAACCATCAAATATACGCTCCTTTAGATGGAATGCAGCCTTATTTGCGGGAGGCATTCTTATGAAGGTTATTTAATTTCGTATCATAAGTCTATTTGAGAATTACGTTTTATTGTAGCAAAGGTAGGCAGTATCTTTGATGTTCGGTGTAAGAGGGAGTTTCGCAGCAGTAGCGGCGGAACACCTTCAATTAAGCGGGGGGGGGGGGGGGGCAGTGCCGACTTTTGGTCCCATTCTTTCCATGCAACGCCCACTGGGCTAATGTTAAAATGTCAAAATCAAAGGGGGACACGGTGCCCCGGTGCCCTTCGCGTTCCGTCACCTATTGCTATGCTTCGCAGCATGTGAGGAGCGCTTCCTCGGGATAGGCAATGACGTAATGTGGCATGTTCTTGCGATTAGTCCATCGGCAAACAAAAAGATCGCTTAGCTTAGAACGGTCTGTCTCGACATTCTTGAGCTTCTTTACCAATATCAAAAGGCAGACTGTGTCTAGGCCCACATAACTACCTGTTCAGAATAAAAACAACTAGGTGAGTATGCTTCATTGAAACCACTGCACCCTGCAGGCATGAGGCATCACGACTAACTAAGTGAAACACGAGGCAAGCTCGCAGAATGGTCGGCCATCTTCGACAAAGCTTCTGGACGCCTGAGCGGCCATTTTCTATCATTCCGTGTTACACATCGGGGGGAGGAGAGGGGGAGGTGCACTGTGCACGTGACCGGCCATAGCACCGATTCGCTGCCTTACAGAGATACCACGTGACCAGGGGAGTGCCGGCGGCATTTTGTGTTGTCGGTATCACGTGACGGGACATCCGTCGAGGACCAGATGTTGCCGGCGGTGCCCCTGCCGCGGCGTGACCACGCACTGATGAGAAAACAGGCCCGGGAGGCAGGGAGGAGAGGAAACTAAGGCAAGAGGCGAGAAACTAGGGGGAGTGAGGCGAGAAACTGGGAGAAGGGAGGCGAAAAACTAGAGCGGAGCCGAGGCAGGCGGCAGGAGAAGGGGTAAGCGGGAGTGATGGGGAAGGGGAGTGAGACAGATGTGGGCGAGACGAGGACAAGACAAGGACGAGAGACAACAGACGGGTTAGGCAGGGGCCGGGAAACAAAAACATGGACAAAAAGTCGAGACGACGGACAGGAGGCAGAAGACAATAACAGAGCATGAGAGCAAAAAAGGCATGACGTATGGTCGGCGGTTACATGCAGTAAGTTAGTGGGTCGATAAAAAAAATAATACACATGGCATGACCATGACTTTTATGCTCCATTTATGACGCGGGACGCCAGACATGGTGTTCAACAGTCAACAGATGTTTGTTGGTTTTGCTTCGCCAGATCAATGATCAGTTCCTTCGGCATCCATCGAAAGTTAGCAGCTAAACATGGCACAAACAGATCAACGGTGCATTTGTAAGGCTTTATCTACAATTAATGTCAAGTCCCATCTACCAATCCGATCGCGATTTTTGCGTCAAAATATGGTGTAGGCCTAACTGTAACTGGGAGAGCAAAACAAACGAGACGTCCCATGTCCATAAGACATTACAAAGGTGAAAGTTTTCTTTTTGGAACCCTGGAAAACTCGCAGGGTTTGTATACAGATTCCCAGAATCACCTGAAACATCTGCCACAAACACTGAAGCCAAAAGAACTGCAGCAAAAACCGTTTTGGTTTAAACACCATCTGGGACGGTTATGAGCGGCGGCGGCTGGCCGTTCGGCAAACAGGCCCAGTTTCATTTTTCGCCGGCCGCCCTGTGTATATTTATCGGGGGCGCCGGCAGGTCCGGTTTTACGCGGCCTTAACGACCCGGTGCGAACAGTGGGGCGGCTAAAACACGCCTCAGATCGTCTCCGCCCCGCCACACACGGCCCTGCTGCCCCTCAGGCTGCTACTGGGCCTCCGAGTGGCCCCGGCCGGGGAACCCAGGACATCGAGTAAAAAACCTATACCAAAGCAGACACTGGAGTCTAAAGCTGAGCCGACGGCCGCACCGACAGCAAACCGGGAGCTAAACTAACAGCTGACCCAACATCTCAACCGGGAGCTAAAGCAACAGCTGACCCAACATCTGAGCCGGGAGCTAAACCGACAGCTGACCCAACATCTGAACCGAGAGCTGAACCGACAGCTGACCCAACATCTGAACCGAGAGCTGAACCGACATTTGAATAGATACATCTGGACTGTTGGACTGAGAGCGACTGAGCAGCAGTCCCACTTATAGCGGACGGGAATGAGCCGCGTCACTCAGGCCATCCGTTTGTGTCAGATATAGGAATCGTTCGATGTTAGAGCATCGTGACCGGTCAGTTCGATAGGATCGGTTAGCCGAAACGAGCAATAGGACGGGATATCAATGGGTCGCCTGTACTTTGATCTGCAGAAGCTGAAATTTGGGAAAGTGCTTAGCTACTCAGATGGGGTGGCCTTATCCATGTGACAAGTGCGTCTCGCAGTGTCACTGACGTGATCTGTGACGTCAGTGGCGCTTTCTATGACGTCATTTGCGCGATGCGAGCGGCATCCTCTGTGTACGGGCGCGGTACATACAGAACACGTCAGCCATTCGACTCCCCGCCGCGAACAGACATAAACGGCGCACGGCCGGGCGGCGCCGCTGCCTCAGCTCTCACAGGCGGAGGAAGTGGCCGAGGTGGACGCAGGTGGTCGCAGTGCGACCTCATAAGCCAGAGGACGTCGAAAATAGTAGAGCTAACGCCGATTTAAAGGTCGGAGGTGTTCGGTTCTATTGATAATGCAGTGTCGTTTGGTCCACGGACACAATCCATCGAAACCTGCCTGAAGACCGAAGCATTGTTATCTGGAAGGATGCCTACATACCTCCCGTATTTTAGAAACATTGGATTGGAATGTGACGGATATCCACGTAGGTTCAGAAGGGTTGAAATGGTACCCAGGGAAAATAAGCTTACAGTTTCCTTCGTCCATTTTTAAGTTTATCTTCGTCCTTAGTTGAATATCATTTTGATTAGCACCACTGATGGTCCAACAAAACAGGAAATGCGGTGCTCTGAACAGCAATTTTCCTCTTTTTCCCGATGTCGCACAATGCCCAAGGTCATTCACGTGACGTTATATGTCTCAATGCATGCATCGAGCAATAAATTTGCTTTCCGCTTGCCTTATATGAAGCAACATTTAAATGACTTTTCCCGCCTCGACAATGTTGAAGGAAATCCTTTGAAATCGGAGGAGCCGGGTGATAAATAAGGTCAAGCAATGCTGAAGCAATGCTGAATATTTAAGCACTAGTGCATAAATATTATTTAAACGACTTTGGGTTTATTGAACCAATTGACCTATTTAAGTAATAAGTCTACGATTGAACGTCCTCGACATCCTGTCTGGCATACGTTCACAGACTCTTGTCACGGATGGACCCCTTGTCCCTTCGTCACAGAGCGAGTGAAGAGATGGATTCATCTGACGAAGAAGTTTTTTCACAAATGGATGAAGAACAACTGTTGCGCTTGGAACGAGAAGCGGAACAGGCAGGCACAGCATCTGCCACAAAATGGGCCATGCAAAAACTCAACAACTGGCTTGAAAAACGACAAATTCAATGCGACTTGGCAACAGTTCAAAAAGACGATTTAGGGAAAATACTGCATAAGTTCTATGGTGAGCAGAAACACACGAAAACTTCTGGATCCTTAAGCCCAAGTACTTTAAACGGTTTGAGAGCAGGAATACAGCGTGCCATCGGACAGCTCAGAAGCGATGTGCACATCGTGAACGATAGAGAGTTCACCCGCGCGAACAAAATTCTCAACGCAAAGTGCCGGCTACACGCCAAACAAGGTAACCCGAAGCCGCAACACAAGGAAGAGATAGGGGAACAAGACCTGCAAAAAATAGCAGCATACCTGTCTGAGAAAGAAACGATGGAGAACCCGCGCCGTCTGCAGCAGGCGGTTTGGTTTATCATCGCGTTTTCCACGGGCGCTAGGGGTCGCGAGATATACAGACAGCTGCAAAGAAGCGGAGTCCGCTTCCACAAAGATGATGCCGGTCAGGAGTATTTCTCGATCGACCAGTGCGTTGTTGAAAAAAAATCATCCTGGCGGACTGAACCGGGGCGACCTGGTGTCCTCTCAGCCCCGGATATACGACAGCGCCTTCGGAGGAACGACATTTCACGCACTGATCAGGCTGTATCAGTCGAAGCTGAACGACTCGTGCCCCTGGTTCTTCCAGCAGCCGAAGCTTCAAGCCAGCTCCGAAGCTTCTTGGTACAAAAACCTGCCGGTTGGTGTGAATACCGTAGCCCAGATGATGGCCCGCATTAGCAAAGAAGCAGGGCTCAGCGGTGCGTACACAAACCACTGTGTGCGCGCCACCACCATCACGCAACTGTTTCGTGCA